TGTGTCTGTTGCGCCGGTTCCCCGAGAACTTGGTTGACAGTGGCCGGCACCTCTGTTCCTGGGGACAAACGTGACCTCTGGGCACGTGGGGCTTGGGAAGGTGGGTGCCCGCAAACACAAGGTGCTTTGCCTTCCTTCAACCGCTCGGGGCGGGGCGCCTCTCTGCGGGCTCCGTGTGGCGGTTCCGGGCTACGTGTGTCCCGTGGGCCTGGGGAGGGCAGCTGTCCGTTCCCGCCGCAGCGAGGACCCAGCCTGGCCGGCAGCTACCAGAAGCGCCTCGCTGGTGCTGCTTGAGTACAGAATTTTCTCTCCCGCTTCATACGCTACGTGGGGATTTGGGGGGTTATTTTCACGCAGATCTTTTCTTCTCCGAGACTGCACATTATTTCTCGATTGCTTTGATGACCTTGCTTCCTGCTGGCCCGCGGCCCCCCTGACTCCCCGCTGGTGGTCACACGGCATCCAAGCCTTCCTGGAGCCCCGCTTGTCCAGTCTTTTCTCCCCGAAGCAGCCTGGACCCTCTCCCCCTCCCTCCTTCTTTGCTTTCCTTCTTTCCTTCTTTCTTTTTTGGTTTGTAATAAATCCTACACATCTTCATGACTCACAGTCAAAACGGTGTAACAGGTACACCAGCCAGGTTCTCGCTCTGAGCCTGCTGCGCCTGCCGGTCTATGCCCGCGGTGGTCTCTCCTGCGGGATCCCGCGCTCCCTCCTGGCTTATACAAAGGGCAGCACACTGCAAACCCCATTCGGCACATTTTCCCGCTCAGTGTATCTTGGACGTTGTTCTGCGTCAGTGAAGAGCGAGCTGCTCATTCTGTATTCGTGGCCACACGTAACCCTCCGTGCACACGGCCACAGCTCCTCAGTCTGTCGGTGGACGCTTGGGTTCTTCTTTCTCGCTGTTGCAAACAGTGCTGTGGTTAGTGACCTCAGATGATGTCGTGTATGTGTGCCGGTGTGTGCATTCCGGGTTCCCAGAGGCCGAGGGGAAGCAAGTCCTTTTGCTGCTTTTGCTCCGAGTCGCGGCTGCACTGCGGGCTCCGTCGTGCACCCAGAGCCGGCTGGAGAGCGGCTCTCCGCAGAGGCTCCCGGCACCAGGTTCTCCATCCGTGTTTGCCAGTCCAAGGGCGGAGAAGGGCCGTCTCGGTGTGCAGGTGTGACCACACTCGTCCCACGCAGACCTGGAGGGCCTCCTGCTTGGTTTCAGACTTGTTTACACCTCTTGCTGCCCATCTTCTTATTGGCTTGCTCATCTTCGAATGGTTTCTAGGAGCTCTTTATAAATTAGGGAGATTGGTCCTTGTGACAGGAGTTGAAAGTACTTTTTCTCAGATTGCCATTGTCTTGATTTTCTTTTTTTGCCATTTTTAAAATGTAGTGGAATTCCAGTATTTTGTGGCTTTTGGATGTTGAGTTATAGTTTAAAAGGCCTTGGTATTCCAAGGTTTTAAAGGAATTCACCCATTTTTCCCCCCTAGGACTTTTATTTACATGTAAACCTTTAACCTGTTTGGATTTATTTTGTTCTGTGGTCTCAAGTATGGATCCAACTTTGTTTTTCTAATCTGGTGGTCCTGATACCATTTATTAAAATCTCTATCTTCACTCCACAGATTGGAGACACCACTATGAAATTATATTAAGCTTCCATATGTATTTGAGTCAGTTTCTGTAATTTCTGGTCTACGTGATTTGTCTTTTTGCCTTTCAGTTTCTGGTGCCACTCAGCTTTAGTTACTGGGGCTCTGGGGCATATTTTAACATTTTATCTGGTTCATTTCACTTCATTGCTCCTTTCAAAGGTTTACCTGACCACTCTTGCTAGCTTTTTTTTTCATATAAAATCCAAAATTCATTCTAATTACATAATTACATAAACAAATCAGCAAATAATTATGGTTTTATTTCTTTGAGTTTTTTATACTTCTGATTTCTTTTCCTGGTCTAATTGCATTGTCTGGTATCTCTAGGGCATTGTGGAATCATGGGCTTGCCTAGTTTATTGTTGGGGAACACGCCTCCTACAGTCTTCCTATTCAGTATTACACTGGCTTAGGGCTGAGATAGGGACAGTTTAGTGTGTGTATGTGTATTATATTAGAATACCCAACGATTTTCTTTTCTGAGTATTTTAAAATCAAGAACAAATAAAAATAACTTTATCAAGTGCTTCTTTAGTATCTGGAGATGATCATGACATTTTTATTTAGGAACGACATCAGAAGGAGGTATGTTTATACATTCCCCACACTTAATCCTCTACAACCTTTTTTCTGTATTCCTGGCATAAAGCCCAATCGGTCATGATATCACTCTTTTTTTATCTTTTTTTTAGAAGATTTTATTTGTTTATTTGAGAGAGGGAGACACAAACACAGCAGAGAGAGAGCACAAGGAGAGGGAGCAGCAGGCAGAGGGAGAGGGAGAAGCAGACTCCCCACCGAGCAGGGAGCCCGATGTGGGGCTCGATCCCAGGACCCTGAGATCATGACCTGAGCCGAAGGCAGACACTCAGCCAACTCAGCCACCCAGGCGCCCCATGATATCACTCTTCTAATAGGATGTGGATTTTATCTAATTACCATTTCTTTCTTCTCTGCAGCTTGATGTTTGAATGTAATATGTTCTGGAAATCTTTCCCATCACCCCCACCAAGGGCAAGCTCACACAACTTCTCCTATTTTCCATTTCCTGCTCTTTTAAGGAAGGAGCCAGGGACACTAATCACATCAGCCCAGAAAACTGGCCACTTTTCTACTGACCAGATAATTACTTGAGCGTTTGTCTCTTCTCCTGTTTGAGTGCCAACCTCTCAAGGCGGAATCTGTCTCACAATTCTCAGCAATCACAAATTAAGGAGACATGCTATACCGAGGAATGCATCTAGTACGTATGCTGGGATGAGAAAAATACTTAAGACAGCAACCCCTCTGTCCTTAAAATTCAGTCCAGGGCAGGAAGCTGGCAGCCCTCCAGAGGCTGAGGAAGGAGCTTTGGGATGACAGGAGCATTATTTGAACATCACTTTGGGGAACGTGCTCAGTTGAAGTTTGGGGTTCGGGAATCTGGGACGTTTGAGAGAGAACAAGACGCATTGGCCACCTGCTGTGAACGGGCTCCCACCCTCGGCAGGCTGAGGGCACACAAGACCCTCGTCCTTGCTGGGCTGTACGTGGAGAGTACGTCTACTGTCAGTGAGACATCGGGGAGAGGGGCAGTGGGGTAAGCCCCGGAAAAATGCAGTTTGAAAAACTCAAGTCTGGGGCATGTGTGGCCTGGGGAACCTCTCCTGTCAGCTGACTAGGGAGACCCAAATAAGGAGACACAATGACACTTGTCACCCACCGGCTGTGTTTCTTCTGGTCTGTTCTCTTGGGAGGCTACAGAGACAAGCACACTGTGAAGACAGGTGGCGTGTTCTGGATACTAATACAATATTTTAATTCATTTAAAGCCTTCTAGGTAAGAGACCTAATAGAAGCAGTGGCCCAGACCCTCACGATGGGGACCCATCCTCCCAGTGAAGGAGCTGAGCGCCCCCAGTCACCGGAATTCTCAGTCCTGCCACCAGTGCCCAACCCCTGGGCTCCGGTCCTGTACCCCTCCCCCGTGAGCCCTTCCCAGGTACACCCCACCCCTCCCCACATGCACCCCCCCACGTGTACCCCACTCCTCCCCACGTGCACCCCACTCCTCCCCATGTGCTCTCCACCCCTCCCCACGTGCATCCCCTCCCCACGTGCACCTCACTCCTCCCCACGTGCATCCCCTCCCACGTGCACCCCACTCCTCCCCACATGCACCCCACTCCTCCCCATGTGCACCCCCTCCCCACATGCACCCCACTCCTCCTCACGTGCACCCCCTCCCCGCATGCACCCCACTCCTCCCCACGTGCACCACCTCCCCACATGCACCGCACTCCTCCCCATGTGCACCCCCTCCCCGCATGCACCCCACTCCTCCCCACGTGCACCCCCTCCCCGCATGCACCCCACTCCTCCCCACGTGCATCCCCTCCCCACATGCACCCCACTCCTCCCCACGTGCACCCCCTCCCCACATGCACCCCACTCCTCCCCACGTGTACCCCCTCCGCACGTGCACCCCACTCCTCCCCACGTGCAGCCCCTCCCCACGTGCACCCCACTCCTCCCCACGTGCAGCCCCTCCTTAGCTGAACCCCTTCCCCACATGCATCCCCACCTGCATGCACCCCTGGCACTCCTGGTCCCTAACCCTTGGACACATGCCATATGGAAGTGGTCTCAGATCTCTGGTATTTGTTGTTTGGACTCAGTGTAGCCTGAGCTGTTCTTTTATCCTCTCTCAATGCGTGTAGACTATTTGATTAATTTAAATTCTTTTAAAAGGTACAAAATTATACATTCTAACTTTTAGTCTGTGGCATTTCCCTAGCTATGTATTCTAAGATAAGAGTTTGCAGTTTTTTTGTTTTTGTTTTTGTTTTTTGAGAGAGAGTACACGAGAGGGGGGAGGGTCAGAGGGAGAAGCAGGCTCCTCGCTGACCAGGGAGCCCGATGTGGGACTCGATCCCGGGACTCCAGGATCATGACCTGAGCTGAAGGCAGTTGCTTAACCAACTGAGCTACCCAGGCACCCGTGTTTGCAGTTTTTATATTAAAATGACATTTCATACCAAAAATGTTAGGAATCACTGTTTTGTTTTGAAAAAATACTTTGAGGGACACCTGGCAGGCTCAGTTGGTAGAACATGCAACTCTTGATCTTGGGGTTGTGAGTCTGAGCTCCAGTTGGGTGTAGAGTTTACTTAAAAACACAGTCTTAAAAAAAATATTTTGAAATGCTTTGAAAAACATTGAAAGCTTGTAAACTATGTGAATTCTGATCATCATTGTTATAATGGGTGTGTTGGTTTTCCGTAGCCTTGCTGTAGCTGGTTTAAAATCCCGTCTTTGTACTTAGCAAGACAGCTTCTTCAGTCACCCTCTGGTCACTGTGTCCCTTCATTTCAGTGGCCCATCTGTGACCCTGGAAGGCAACATCTTGTTACACTAAGTAGACCATGAAGTGCACTTGAGATGCAAGATTATGTTTCTTCGTGCTTCGAAGGACCCAGCAGCCAGAATGATTTCTCCGCGTCTCGTCTCTTCCTTCACTTAGCTCAGCATGGCTGAATCATGCATGTAGAATAGTTTTCTGTCCTTCTCTTCTTAAATAAACACACACACCAAGTCCTGTTGTGCCTTCTCAAGAAATGCCCCATTTCCCGGTGTCTGAGGTTTCTGTGCTGGGTCCTCCCACCCCTCCTGGAGCTGTCCCTTATACACTTGGGCTTTTTTGGTTCTGAGGCTGGGAGCACGAAGCCAATTGTGATACCTGGAGAGCGAGGCATTTGGGGGAGAGGGTTGGCGGACATGCCCGCGTGACCTCGCTCGTGTCTCCTGGGCCAAGCTGCACTCCTGAGCCGTGTTCAGTCAACGTGCGGACTTGGAGCCTTTTGAGGGCTGGGCCAGGTGCCTGCAGACAGAACTGTTGGGAACAGGCCCGACTTGATGAGGGTCGGGAGTTCAGGCAGCCACTGGCCTGGGGAGCAGCCCCACGCTGGGGCGGTCAGGGGAGAACCGTTAGCTGTGCTGTGTGTCGTGTTGTATGGAGGTTCCCGCCCCTGAGGGACACGGGCCGACAGGTGTGCACGCGGAGACACGCGGGTGTGCGGGCTTCGGCGTGGACTCATGCACGTGGGCGGCCGGCGGCGGGCTGTGGACGGGGCTGGGCTGGCCGTGTGCTGGTGAAGCTGTGGCAGCTCACGGGCTCGCTGTTTCTGTGTCTGTGGGAGTTTCTCTGATTCACGGAACATTCTTCTGTGACAGAGCCCACGCAGTGGGGACCCCTGTGTGTCCGGGGACCTCCGCTGTGTCCTGAGTGCGGCCGCCCTCGGGGTCAGAAGGAATCCTGTGTGTGGACGGGCCTCGGGGCCCCCCTGAGACTACCCGCGGACGTTATTTCAGTCCAGCTGGCCACGGTTAACGTGGCTCACGAAGACGCAGTCTGGAGGCAAGGGAACTGTTTCCAGACCTTTCAAATAGATGTGGTGACTTTTCCCTTCTTAAAAAGTCATGATGTGGGGCGTCTGTTTGAGGTTCTCTCCCCCTCTGCCCCTCCCCCCTCAAAAGAAAAAGTCATGAGGACCCTCTGCTCCTCGTATTTGTTTTATGGGAGGGTTGGCATTTCGAGTTTCTTTTAATAGCTAGAGTGGACTGTCCTGTTGCCCGGGGCGTGCGGAGAACGATGTGCCCCAAGTGAAACGGGTGTGGTCTGGCACCAGAAAGGACCGTGTTAGAGAAGGCTCTGGAAGCTTTGTGACGCTGGCCACAGGATGGGCATGTGCGTGCGTCACACCCCCCAGGAGGGCTTCTGGTCACGTGAGTGGATGAGGGCCCCCCCCCCGCCGACAGCTCTCCAGCCCACCTGGTGGACACAGACCCCGGAGGAGCCAACCAGCCTCCGCCGGGACCCACTCTCGGAAGCCAGCGTTAGGAAGCCCCTCGGCCGACTCCCGACGCAGCTGCGCCCCAGAGGCTCGCCCGACTCTGGTCTTCGGGCCTCTCTCTGCTTCCCCGTGAGATCCGTCCGCACGGCCGCGTCCTGCCCGGGGACTGGGAGGGGCACAGCCTTCCACATCCGTTTTCCTTGCCTCCAGATTGAGTTCTGTTAGTTAATCCCGCTTTTCCTGTCGATGGCAGCGGGGCCTCTGTGAGCCCAAGGGTCTGTTCCTGGGTCTTTGGTGCCCCTTCCTTGCACCGCGGCCCCAACAGAGCTGTTTGTTCAGGGTGCTGACTGGCTGAGTCCTGCTGCAGGTGTGGTCGGGGGTCTGAGCCTGCTGGAGCTCTGCCCCCACAGGCCAGGAAACGGGACACAGCAATGTATGGGAGCCTGCCACTCCCGCCCCGCCCATCTGCAGGGCATTAGCCAAATCCCTCTGGAGAGAACAGCAGGGAGTTGGTTTTAAACCCATTTCCAGATTAACTCTTCAGATTCCCTGATGAAATCTGAGGTAAGCAGAGTCTATCTTTGCCTTCTGGTGCCATGCACAGCGGGTCAGAACAAGCCCCTGTGGTCTGCTCTGCCCATCAGCACCTGTTTGGCAGCCCCCACCCATGATCGGGGGTGAGGAAGCCTGTGTCACGAGTGGGCGTGGGGGTGGAGAGCCTGGCACTGTCCCTGTGCCTGGTCCTCTGGCTGGCAGCCCGGTGCCTGGCTTCCTGCCGTTGTGGGCCGTCCTCTGCCCATGTGAGCCCTGTTTCTTGGCTCCATCCTCCCCACGGTCGGTGCAGAGAACTCACTCCCTGCAGTGGGAATGCAGAATGGTGCAGTGACGTGGAAGACAGTGGGCGTTTCTTGCACAACTAAGCATGCTCTCCCCACGTGACCCAGCAGCCGTGCTCCTGGCCCTTTCCCCAAAAGAGCCCGAAATTTACATCCACAAAAACCCCAGCACCTGCCCATTTCCTGCAGCTGTACTCGGAATCGCCCAGTGCCCCAAACCCTGCGGTGCATCCAGGCAGCGCTTTTATTCAGCACTAAGGAGAGACGAGCACAGAGAGCGAGGGGCAGCGAGACCACTCTGCGTGACGTAATGGCAGACCTGTGACTGTGTCTGTGAGCCCCCCGCACAGCGCAGAGAGCGAACATCAGTGCACACCGGAAGGATCATGGAGGGGGGGTCCCAGGAAGAAGTGCAGGCGGGGCAGGAGAGGGGCAGAGCGGGGGGCATGTGCACCCACAACAAGGGGAACCCCACACAGGCTCTGTGGTTTCTCACTGTTGTGTGACCTCCGGTGTTTAAAGGCCTCTTCAGCTGTGTGTCTTGATGGTAGTGTGAAGAGGATGTTCCGTTCAGACCTGCAGGCCCTCTGGGTGGGTGACCGCGGGGGCCGTGCTGGCGCTGAGCCTGCTCACTGCTTGTCGGCGTTAATCCAGCACACATGCGGTTTGGTCACGTGTGAAACGCAGTGAGTTTCTGGGCTCTGCTGCAGGTAACCCGATCTTCACCTACAGGTACGTCCAGGGACCGTTCCTGACGCACCCTGTGCCCCATCAGGGACAGCTCCTAATCCCCTGCGTCCCGGGCAGCCCGCCGGCAGCCGTTCCCGCGCCCCCCAGCCCACCAGCAGGTGGAACTGAGGCACGCCTTCCACATCTGGGAAGGCGTCAGAACGGTGGGGGCGCAGGCTCCCTGGGGACCCGAGTGCTGGCAGCTTCAGCTCAGGGATTCCTGCAGATGAGCCACTGCCCACAGGCCGCCCGCCCCACTTCGGGGGCGCCTCGGGGAGCACAGCCTCGTCCTGCGCTGCTCGGCCGGCTTCTGGACATGCAGAGAAAGTAGATGGAGGGGTCAGTGCGACGGCTTGGTGTCGCCCAGGCAGGGCCGTGTGTGTATGCGTGTCCAGGACTGTGCAGACTACCTCGTCGGCCCTTCACTTCGTTTTTACTAACAGCTTCATTTCAGCATAGTTCACAGACCATAGACTTTCACCACCTTTATTTTTTTAAATTTAGTTTTATTTAAATTCAATTAACATATACTGTATTATTAGTTTCAGAGCTAGAATTTAGTGATTCATCAGTTGCATGTAACACCCAGTGCTCATTCCATCACGGGCCCTCCCTCATGCCCATCCCCCAGTTACCCCCTCCCCCACCCCCTCCCCTCCAGCAACCCTCAGTGTGTTTCCTAGAGTTAAGAGTCTCTTATGGTTTGTCTCCCTCTCTGATTCCATCTTGTTTTATTTTTCCCTCCCTTCCCCTATGATCCTCTGTCTTGTTTCTTAAATTCCGCATATGATAATTGACTTTCTCTGATTGACTTATTTCACTTAGCCTAATACCCTCTAGTTCCATCCATGTCATTGCAAATGGCAAGATTTCGGGTTTTTGATGGCTGCATAATATTCCATTGTATATATGGACCACATCTTCTTTATCTATTCATCTGTCGGTGAACATCTGGGCTCTTTCCATAGTTTGGCCATTGTGGACATTACTGCTATAAACATTGGGGTTCAGGTGCCCCTTTGGATCACTACATCTGTGTCTTTGGGGTAAATACCCAGTAGTGCAATTGCTGGGTCGTAGGGCACTTTCACCCCCTTTAAAATGTACAGCTGGGTGGTTTTCAGGCTGTTGGCAGGGTTGGCCACGTCACCATGAACTTGAGGACACTCATCACCCCTGAAAGAAACCCCACCCTGTGAACCATCGAGCCCCGTCCCCTGCCCCCACAACCACGGCTCTGCACTCGTTCCATGGGGATTTACATGTTCTGGGCATCGCGTGGAAATGCTCACATGCGGCGTGCGATGCCTGTGTGTCTGGCTTCTTCTAGGAGCGTGATGTCTTCACAGTTCGTCCTGGTACAGCCTGTGTCCAGGGCTTTGTCCGTTTCTGTGGCTGAACCACATCCTGCTGTTCAGACAGATCAAGCTTCACCTGATGGTCGGGTGTGGATGTTGGGTTGTTCCCACGTTGGGCCATTGTGAATCCTGCCGCCATGAACGTTCACACACAGTTTCCATGCGGACATGTCTTCACCGCTCTTGGGTGCACGCCCGGGGAGGAGGTGCTGGGTGTGTGGTGAGTCTGGGTTTAACCGACGGAAGACTGCCAGATGTTTCCCACACGGCTGCAGCACCGACTATTCCCAGTGTCTCCACATCCTCCCCAAAACCTGCTTCTGTCCGTCTTTTCTTTCCCCCCGTCCTGGTGGGTGTGACACGGTGTCTCGCCGTGGTTTGGATTTGCGTCTCCCGGAGAACCTTTGCATGCTTCCCGGCACCATCTTACATCTTCTTCACGGAAATGTCCATTCAGGTCGGGGCGTTTGCCTTTTCGGCATGAGCTGGAGGAGTGCCCTGCGCGTTGTGGGTCCAGGTCCGTGGCCCCCTTCTGCGTCCTCGGCTTCCTGCCCCGGGGCCCTCACCTGGGCCTGACGGGCGCTGGGTGGATGGCGGGTTGCTGTGGGGCCGGCCCGCGCCCTGAGGGGCGTTGGCCACGTCCCTGGTTCTGCCCAGCAGAGGCCAGGGGCTCCCCTGCTTGTGATAGCCCAGGCTGTCCCCTAGGGGTCAGAGTCGGCCTGGGTGAGAAGCTGCATCTGCGTGTCGTCCTCTGCTGTGGACGCATGAGCCCCCTGCACACATGAGCAGGCGTGTGCCCCCAGGTCTGCGTAAACATATGCTTGGGCGTGAGCAGCCT